TGTGATCATATTCCAGGAAAGTTACATCATCATGTTGTTATCTTAAACCCACGCGAGCGCGCTCGTTTCTTATATTTTCTACCTTATAACAAAAAGATTTATACCAAGAGGCCGTCACCGGTGCCGCCGCCGCCCCCCGCAGCCCGCTGCCGGTTTCCAGCATCGTAGGCCGTATACGGCCACCTGCTCCCCCCTATGACGCGGGCATCCCGCTGTCGGAAGCCGGCATCGCGCTGCTACCCCACACGCCGGCACCCCGCTGCCGCCCCAGGCGCCTGCCCCCCGCTGCCCACCCGCCGCTGCTCATGCATGCACCTGCTGCCGCCTCTGACGTCACGCTCCTCGATGCCGACCTCCTGGTCATTGCCGATGACGGACCCCGGCTTCTTCTTCTGCAATCCAGATCCCCCACCCCCGCACCCCACTGACACTTCTTCAGCGTGACCTTGGAGCTGCTGCTGGAGACCTGGTGCCAGCTCCGGATGGCGGCAGCCCGGTGGCAGCCTGGAGTGACCTTGAAGTGGCTTCATTCTCTCCTAGAACAACTACTTGTAGTTGCAAAACAAATTTGGCCTTTTAATGATATTCGCATGTTAGTTTTGTTAACTTAAAATTACACTTATTTGTATTTTTGGAAATAATTCTTAGCTGTTGATATATAATTAACAATAAATAAGTTAATCAGTTTAAAGTTTAAATGAATTAAATTAAATAAATGAAATTAATTTGAAATATTACTAAATATACAGGCTGTTTGGATTTGTAGGTATACAGGGCATTAAAAGTAATAATTAAAACAATAAATTAAATGCAAATATTACATAATTAAATATTCAATAGATCTTAAAAGTGGCCATAATGGAAAACTATATAATCCTCCAAAATTGAAAATATTCAGCTTATTATAATTTAATTAATTTTATTTTCAATAAATTGTATTTTTATATGTACTTTTTTATTTGAATTTAATCGCAGTTTTAAGGAAATAATAGTTTCTAAATATGGACATTCCCAGGGTATATTAAATAAAGCTACTTCTGATGAAGATACAGAAACTAGTTAATAAAATAATTGAAATATGTTGGCAATTCTATAATTTATTAAAAATTACGACAATATGTGTTTATCCTTAAGCAACATGTCAATTAACGAATTAATTTACTTATATAACAAATGCATTAATGTTTCAATAATTGAAATAGTAGTCAAAATTACGTAATTAGGTATTCATAATAATACTGTGTACTTACTACTTTCATTTTGGATTGTACTTGTTGATTGCACTGAAGACAATATGGAATTGCTTGTATTGGGATGTAAAATTCTTTATATACCTATCTCTTAATTAGTAGTTGTACTCCCACTATTTTAGATTACAGAGATAGCAACAATTATTTGAAGATGGCTCATTAGCATAATGTTTAATAAAGGTTACAGGTGCTTCGTCCTGTTAGGCGAATTTTTTTCTGAGTGAATATGGTATATTTCAAGATTTCAAGGCCGCGAGAAATCATAGTTGACATTTAAGATGTGGTCGCCCTGAGTATTATTAAATTGGACGTGTAATCACCTATCTGTTGATGCAATTTTATATGTATAGTAATGATATCATTTAATTTCTGTAAAGAATTATTGGGAACCAGAGATTAATCAGCTACGATGAGAAATCTGAAATACGTAATAACGTTGCTACTGGACAAATGTGTCTAAAAATATATATTTTTTTAAATGGAGACTATGAAAATAATTATTTAAATTTATTTATTAATTATTTTTGTAAAATTGTATAAATACAACGTATTCGGAAATTATGAGCAAAATGTTTAGGGGGTTGATTCTACTCAAGAACGAATAGTACAAGTTTCTACAATTTTATTATTTAAAAAAGAAATGAAGCAGCTTAACCTTAAATTTAATTTTTTAAATTAATATTTTACCGTTATTTTTTCTTCAATTAATAAAATTGAAAAATAACATTTTTAATTGCTTTTTAAAAAATTACATATTTCAATACTTAAAAAAGAGAACAATAAAATGTAATGTTCATCAAATATTTCTATTTATTTGTTCATAAAATATGCATTTATAACTCGAAATCGTTGTTTTCCCTAGGGAGGTAAGTTACTTCACTTACCTCCTGCTGTCCATAGCAACTTCCACTTCTACGGTAAAATCCACTTACCTCCGTAAAAACATTGTATTAATAGTCTATTTACTATAGTGGGAGTAGATAAACATAATTTAACAATAGCTGTATTGCTGACACACTACTCAAAGTTTTAATTTCAAGTCTATATCTGCTTTAATTACATTTATTTATATTTTATTTGTCGTAAAGGAAATCGATACCTACATTTGTTTGTATTGCAGAAGGAATAATATTTTAGCAAGCGTAGGTACCTACATCTAAAAATAAATCTCTAAGTTTATATGAATCATTTGGGCTTGAGTTTGATAAATAACGACGTACAAAATAAAAATATGGCTAATAATAGAATAAGGAATTCTATTTCGTCGGTCTCATTTGAATAATAATAAATGAGTTACAAGGGTACGAATGTTTCACGCCGGGGGTCCTACTTGAATTCGTTAAACGTCACGACAAGGAAAGGGACCTAAACCTAAAATAAATAACCGGAGTCATCTCTGAATTATATTAAAGGTGTGCAAATGTTGATATATACATGGAACAGTTGTCTTTCAAGGCGCCGTGTGCTTGTTTTTCTAGTATTCTAATTAATAAAAATTATCTGGAAATGTTCGTGAGTAAAAAAAAAGAAGTTGTAATTGATAAATATCTTGGAAGCTAGTTCGGAACTTGTTTTCATAAATGGCATCTGAGTATTAAAAATTACTACTATTAATTTCATTGTATTTATTGCCAAAAAAATACCTTATTAATAAAATAAAAAAAGAAGCTCAGAGAGACACGTGAAGGTTGACACTTAATTTTATTACTTTATTTTTCAAATAAATTAATTTGAAAATATTATGAAAATAAGAATATATCTCGAAGGCAAAAACAAAGTAGGTATACATGCAAGATTTATCTGACGAATTCAAAATAATTGGAACAGGTATTATATTTAGTCTTCCAACTAATAATAATTGGGGAGAATACAAAATTCAAAACACGTATCTTGTGAATGCGATAAACGTTATGTTAGATTCATTAAATGTAGAAGTCTGGGCAAAAATTCAAAAGGGAGAATTGAAAAATTAATAACACATGCGCACAAAAAAAGTCCAAACCCAAGAGACTCACATGTCATTTCCGAAGAAATTTGATCCTGTAGTCAAAATTCGTGACTTCCAGATAAATTTCGGAGAAAAGTGAAATTTTTGGGTAAAAACTGGTCCAACTATGGATCAAAACTAATTTTTTCCTAAAGTTTGTCGAAATATATAATTTTCGTAATATTTTGAGGCGCTGAACACGATGCCATTAGTATTTACCCATGACCTCAGTATTTGACAGAAAATCCAGTATTTGGGTGAAAACTGTCCCAAATATATGATATTTTCCTAAATTTTGTTTAAATAGAAAAATATTAATTTTAGATTAACATGTATAAAGCTCGGGGTTTTCGTCGGCTAATCATAGGCGTGTTCGTTGTAAACAAATAAACAGGTACGTATAAATAGAAATAAATAATTTTGTGTACTTTATTATCAGCGAAAGATCGTTTTTTACCCCTAGCGCGTTCGACATTATTAGAATATTAAAACACGCGTACACAAAGCAAACGGGAAGCCAGTAAGTGCCGTTATTATGGGTTTCGTACGGTGCGCTGTAGCGAAAGGCGGACGCGACGGCTATGATCATCCGACCGAGTACCGAGCTCTAAACATGAAACACAATTTCCCAATAAGTTGGGTTAGATTGATTTAATTTTTATTGTTTTTATACGTATTTTCAGTTGTTTGTATTTGTTTAATATTTGTTTTGCCTATAACAAATATTTTATTGCTAGGTACCTAATTCACATTTAGGAAAATAATGTCAGGAAGTAATGCTTTTACATATTTTATTCACGCTTTATAATTATTTATCTATTTATTTATTTATTTATTTAGCATTTGACAGATTAAGGCAATTAAGTGAGGATAACATTTAAGATTTAGTAAAAAAAAAAGTGAAAGAAAAAACTCTTAAATATAACATGAACACATTGTAAGAAAAATTGGACTTATTTTCACTCAATTTTACTCAATAATGTATCAATTTCTGTCCACTCGGTACAACTAAGATTTTATGAGTGAAACTATATGTTGTAGTTCAAATATTATCAAAACTGAGTAAAATTATCAAAATGACCAATATTGACTAAAAATATACTCAATAAATTTCACTCAATAGATTCACTCAGCTTTCACTCACAATCAGACCGATTTATTTATAGTGCAAAGACAAAAACGTATGTACGCAAGTGTAAAAGAAATGAATTGCAGATAATATTACAAACAAAGAAACCGAATAAGAGAAAAAACAAATATACACAAGTATAAATAACATGATTTACTAAGTTGTAAAGACTTTCTGTTTGGCACGTCCAACAGTACATTGTAAAAAAATCGGTGTGAGTGAAAGCAATAAAGGTTCGGGAACCGATTGAGTGAAATTATTGATTTCACTCAATCTTGGGCATTTTGATCATTTTACTCATTTGTGATTATATTTTATCTAAACAAAAAGTACTTTCACTCAAACATAGGTACTCCTTAAATAAATTCTTCACTCAAATTCGTATTTGGTGCAGTTGTACCTAAATCAGAGTAAATGTCCTCATTACTGAGTGATTCCACTCTTTTTCATATCCAGATGCATTGTCTTTGTCCGTTCCCATCGTCCCATTAGGTTATTTCGTGACCATGGCGTGGTGGATGGCAGTATTGCGTATGGTGTGCTTTGGAGTTTGACAAGTATTAGTTTATCTGGTTATTCTAATAAAAATTATATTTAAATGCAATGGTTTAATTACAATATATCAAGTCTTAATTAATGGTTAAATAAACGGATAGTTAAATTGTTATCTTTAATTAACTATTTGTAACGTACAATATAGGTTATGGTAATCTATTCGTCCGATCAGTTCAGCAATTCCTTTAATCGAGACATGTCTCTAAAATAGATCTATGTAGAAACCACTATGGCATCTTAGTAATTTATGACTTTAATGATATTTAAATTAAAATTTAAAGAGAATATAAACCAAGTCTGAGTAAAAAATTACTCAATAATAGTTAAGCTTAAATCATATTAGAGAATAAGTCAACTCTAAATTGGTTTTATATACTCAGAATAGAGTCAAAAGTAACTCAATAGATAGTTAGCAGTCACTCGGATTTGAGTAAAACTCACTCATTTCTGAATAATTTCACTCAGTTGTACTCATACTAATAGAGTGAAAATTTCACTTAATCGGGTGTGGCCAGAAATTAATACATCATTGAGTAAAATTGAGTGAAATTTGAGTGAAATTCATTTACAGCGTAGTAAGTCTGGACAATCGATTTGTTCGGTTGCCATTTTATGTAGAGTAAGAATTACGCATACGTCATTTGCTTAAGACATTGAGATGAAACCTACTTAGTAAACTGTTTTGTGGTACTCCTTGATGTGGATATATGTTGCCCATCTTGAACCATAGGTATCTAACATATTTGCGTTGAATGTCCCTTAACTTTTTAACATGGATTTCATAGGTGGGGCACCATACCAGTGATCCATATTCTAGTTTCGACATAACAAATGCGTTGAACAGCAAGGAAGTAGTACAAGTTTCCGAATTATACCTATTGTCAAAATAATAATATAGTAACTAATATTCTTTGTGTTTTTCATGTTGCCATCATTCTATTGGAGATGCGATATCGTAATCACTAGATAATCATCTACGTTGCCAGAGGTAGTCCGTGTGGTTTTTATTGTTTTGTTATTCCTAGAAGAAAAACAAATATATTATCTATAAATGCCGAATCGTTTGTTTTTAATAATTAAAAATTATTACTATGCAAGGTATTAAATTAGACGTTAATCATTGAGAACTGGAAATAATTTAGAAGGAATAAATAAGCATATATTATGTTATCATACGAAAATAGGCACATGTATGAAAAATTTTCACAGAACGTCTTCGATGGAATATTATGACTTACTTTTAATTTTTATTGTTTTTATTATTTTCACTTCGATGTCAATTTAATTTTACTGTAAAACAACGAACAACTAGACAACTAAAAATTATATTAATTACTTTTAAATGATCAGTTAAACAGATGAATTAATAAGCAGAACATGACAAAGACTGGCTATTTGGTGATGAACCAGT